AAGAAAAACAGAAGAGAGGGCTGGATGGAAACCAACCAAAATGTGCAACTTCTCATGTAGAGAGGACATGAATGAAAAGATGAGAGTCCACAGGTCTGAACTGAAAGTAGATAATCTAGGGGAAGTGCATAGCAGGCAGGTAGAAATTGGATTCTCAAGCTCTGGGAAAAGATCGGGGCCGAAAGTAGAGATACAGAAGCCATAAACCATGAATGATCAATGAAGAGGAAAAAATTTCATGTGGTCACTCACCGAATAAATAGAGAAGAGGGAGCCAATGAGAAATTAAAGAGAAGCATCTAAATTCAATTGACAGGCTAAGAAAGCATGCAAAACACAAATAAAATAAAATATTTAAAAATTTAGTCAAAAATACTAGGAAAACCAGCATACAAGACAGGAGGAACTTCAATGACTGTAATAAATTGAGGCTTGAGATTACCTTTAGAGATGTGTATCTCCCAAAATGTAAAATAGATTTTTAAATAAAACAATGCTTGAGAAAGTCACATAAACACAAGTACATGGTGAGAGTTCATTTATTCAGCAAATATTTGCCAAATTCACTCTTACCATGCAGAGGATATTATTAACAATGGCCAATAAAAGAAATATATTCTCTACCCTGATGAAGATTACAGCTAATCAGAATAAAAATGTGATTATAAAATTACTTTGAAAAATAGTTGGGGGTGGTATGAAAGAGGGGTGGGAAGAGCAAGAGAAATCCCTCAGGAGACAGAAGCATAGGGGAGAAGACAGGGGTAGTCAAGAGGAGGCTAGGGGGGGCTGCTTTACTTCTTTCTTTCTTTTTTATAAATTAGGAGAAAAGTTGAATGTGTTTGTTAGACTAAGAGGAGAACCAGTGAAAAGAATCTAAGGGTAATAGAGTTCATGGACTGGAAACAAGGCCATTTCCATTTTTTTTTTTTTAACGTTTATTTATTTTTTTGGGACAGAGAGAGACAGAGCATGAACGGGGGAGGGGCAGAGAGAGAGGGAGACACAGAATCAGAAACAGGCTCCAGGCTCTGAGCCATCAGCCCAGAGCCCGATGCGGGGCTCGAACTCACGGACCGCGAGATCGTGACCTGGCTGAAGTCGGACGCTTAACCGACTGCACCACCCAGGCGCCCCAAGGCCATTTCCATTTTATAGAGATCCTCCCATTTGTCAGGCACTGTACACATACTATTTGGTTTTAGGAAAGTTCTAGAACTTTCTATAGTCCAATAAGTGCATGAACTAGGTAGGAGCATATTTATCTGAAAGATATTTGTCTTCTTTCTTTTTTTTTTTTTGTCTTCTAGTCATCATATGAAGATTGAAGAGAAAAGATAATGTATAAATATATATTAAATGTATGAACATTTATCAGGTATATTAGGTTTAAATAAATTTTCTAAACTCAAACACCTAAGTTCATTTAGAGTATTTGTTTAAACAAATGAAAAATATCTCTTGGGGATGCCTAGCTGGCTCAGTCAGTGGAACATGTGACTCTTGATCTTGCAGTTGTAGGTTCAAGCCCCACGTTGGGTGTAAAGATTACTTAAAAATTAAAAGAAAAAAAATCTTCAAAAAAAAAAAAAGAAAAAAAAAACAAAAATATCTCTTGAAACAAGAAAAATAATTTGTTATTATCATTGTGGTATTGTCAGTCCCATCTGCTAAAATACACACACACACACACACACACACACACACACACACCAGGGTCTCAAGAATAGTATTAGCCCCAAAATAATAAAAACCTCTGAATGACAAGATTAAATAACCATGATGCATATCAGCTTGTTTTTGTACCTTTTCTTACTGACCCGCAGCTCTCACACTTACCATTGATACAACACTCATAAAATGGGAAAATAGCGGGGTGAACTTCTTTATTTGCTTACTTTTGCATTATATGAATAGCCACTTTATTTTCACATTTTCCTTAATCTCTCATTTTCTTAAATGTATATGAAAACTCAAAAATGTAATAATCATCTTACAATGAGATGCTTTCTTAAGTGTACAACAATTTTATGAAATTGCCTTACTTGATAAAATCGACAGAAAGTCTTTAGTAAAGAATAAAGTATTATACTAATGTATTAAAATCACTGCTATTAGTATTATTCTAATTAAGCCTAAATTCCTGACACCTGGAGATTGTCAGTCTCTCTCTAAGCATTAGGTAATTAAATGAAAATCCTCTCCTAGTTTAAAAACTATAATCAGAAGAATATCAACATTCAGTGAGACTTTTAAAACATGAACTTCAGCTCACATATTCTGTGGCCCTCATATTTCTTCTCTACCAAGGTAATCAGGGATGTATTACATTGCTTCACTTACCTACATGAAATGGCTAAAAAAAATGAAATTATATGTGACCAAACAAAGAATAAATACTTTTACATAATTTACTGGATTTTGGAACTTTGGTGCCTCATGAATATTTAAAAGATAAATGGATTTAGCCATCTGAATTTAGATGTATGCTGATAATGCTTGAGACCTTGGCAAATCAATTAACCTCTGGACATTCAATTTTGAATAAAGGGGTTACTATTTGTTGGCAATTGTGTAACCATTCTAATTAAAAGGAACTTGTGAACTCTTTTAATTATTCATCCTTTGAAATATCCGCCTGTGGATAGTGGCTAACACACCCATTTTATCTGTTTGTATATTGGGAAAAATAATGGTAAAATAATTGATTTGGTGCAAGGTCCATGGTTAGTGATAAGATTATTAGAAGCCAGAAGTTTCCCCTCTGCCAATTCTTTACATTATTCACTCATATTAAAGCCTTTTATTCCCTTATAATTAATTTTGTATTTTGAGAATTAAATAATGATGCATTTGATATATTGAATGAATTATGTAATTACATCTTATGCGAAATTTCAAATATGTTCAGATTTTGTAGCATTAGAGAAGCTATGACATTTGAGTCTTTCCTAATTAAAACAAAAATGAAAAGATTGTGTATTTTGCCATCTTTTGCATCATCATGCGTAATCCCTTGAAGAAACAGTAACAAATGACTTCTTATTTTATTAATAGTTCTCAAATGCCCCATGAAATCTGGGAATCTTTTCCAAAAATAGTAACACTCACCATGCAACGCATTCGAATTCCTTATGAATAAGAGTGGTATTTATTCCTAATATTTGTATTTGTACCCTGGGGGAAACACATGATGTTGGTTGGCAGTCTATCAAAGACTTTAAAGAGAGCCTTCAAAGACTAAAGCAGATGCTATTAATCAGATGCTATTTTCATTTTTTATCTGAAGATTTTCTTCAACTTAACTTGACTAGGAATTCAAAACTCTATGAAACATACACATACATTCACATGCTTACACTTGAGTAGAGTCATGTACACAAACATGGCCCTAATCCACATGGCTCTCCATGGTACAGTGTCATAGCAGAGACTCTGGGGAATAGTGTGGTCCTTCCAGTGCCTTCAGTTACTACATTGTCTAAAAGAGACTCAGAAATAAGCCAGTGTTCTAGTCACTCTTGTGCTTGAGTAAACTTTAATGCATGCAGATTATCACTTATTTGCTATTGTATTGAATGTATATGGTCTTAGACAGTGGTCTTAAGTATGGAAATAATTAGTGAATGTATTCACTAAGGAGTCCTGCTTAATATATTTTTTGTGAAAATAATTATTTGATAACTTGAAAAATCCTTCTTTAGATCAGTAGTTTTGTGAAAGTGTGAACTCAACAGTGAACCTGGATTTCAAAGAAAAGCAATGACCAAAAAAATCCACATAGTCAAACCTTTAAACATATCTTTCAGTAGAAAGGATTTATGACTGTACTGAACAGTGATTTGTTTTGCTCACATAGAGGTATAAACAACACAAGAAAGTAAGGTAAAAGGAGGAGTTTCATTAAAGTATTAGATAATTACTTGCTTGCAATCTTTATTTACCACTACATAATCATACTACTAAAAACTTTAATATTTATCAATAGGTGACAATTCTCCAAGATAAGAAGTATGTCTTTCATATGACTCTATGCCTTAATTAAAATATTAGTCAAATGTCCACAAGGTATTTCTACAGTTAACTTGTAAAATGAGAATAGCTTCAATTCAAAAATACTAATTAAATACAGAATGTGATTCAATAAAAGTCACTGATGGCTAATTAAGGGAAGAATTATCAGACTTGGATGAAAATATATAATACATATAATCCTAATGAGAGAATATGCTGTTTGCTTTCCTCCCCTGTTACAAGAAATTCACCAACCAAGTATTTAACCTTGAGAAGAAACAAAGAAGCTTTCCTGAGTACATACCATTTCCCAAATACTGAGCTAGGCAATTTGGGGTTTCTAAAGACAGTTTGAAGACAAAATGCTTCCTGGCATTTCCTTGCAGACTAATTAAGGAAAAAGGAGTTAACTATTGAAGAATGGGAACACTAATTCAAGATACAAGGCCCACCTTAAGCAGAATGTCCAAAAGCTTATGTTTATCAAGGTCTTTTCAATGCTGTTTTTTCTTCCTCTTTTTCTGCTCTCTTTATTATTGACTTGAGGTTGTTATTAAGTCATAGTGTTGTCTTATTCCGTTTTTCGTTCTCGAATGTAGATAACGTTTTCGGTAGTTAGTATTACACATTTTAAGATGTGTACCTTTCTTAATATATAATGTCGTTCAATGCCCTGACACTCCTCATTAAGAGTATAGAAACTTAGAATATTTATGAAAGATAAAAATTACAAGAACAGTACATATCAGTATTTATAATGAATACAGACACAAAAATTAATTAGAAAATTAAATCCAACAATACTTACATAGAGATAATACATTATGACTAAGTGAGGTTTATCTAAGGGAAGTGTGATTGGTTGAATATTAAAAAGTCAACCAATGCAGATCACTGCATATGATTATCTCAATAGATGCAAAACAATAACAGAAACAAAAACAACATTTGACTAAATCCAATATCCACTAATGATTAAACAACTGTCAACAAAAAGTGGCTTTTGGCTTTTGGCTCAGAGGAAGCAAGCGTACAACTATGTTCGGTCGTCCCGATTCCAGATCCATCGACACCAGCTGCCTCTACCATGCTGCCTAAGTTTGACCACATCAAGATCAAAGTCATACACCTGAGGTGCACAGGTGGCAAAGTCAGTGCCAATCTTCCTGGCCCCAAAGATCAGCCCCTGGGTCTGTCTCCACAAAAGTTTGGTGATGACATCCTCAAGGCAACCGGTGATTGGAAGGGTATGAAGATTAGAGTGAAACTGACCATTCAGAACAGACAGGCCCAGACTGAAGTGGTTCTTTCTGCATCTGCCCAGATTATCAGAGCCCTCAAGGAACAACCAAGAGACAGAAAGAAGCAGAAAAACTTGAAGCACAGTGGAAATATCACTTTTGATGAGATTGTCAGCATTGTCTTACAAATGTGGCACAGATCTTTAGCTAGAGAACTCTCCAGAACCATTAAAAAGATCCTGGGGACTGCCCAATCTGTGTGGATGGCCACCACCCTCATGACATCATAGATGACATCAATAATGCTGCAATTGAATGCCCAGCCAGTTAAAAACTACAAAGGAGGGGTGCCTGGGTGGCTCAGTCAGTTAAGCATCTGACCCTTGATCTCAGCCATGATCTCTCTCTCTCTCTCGGTTCCTTAGATCAAGCCCCACATTGGGTTCTACACAGATAGTGAGGAGCCTGCTTGAGACTCTCTTTCCCTGCCTCTCCCCTGCTCCTGCTCTCCCCCTCTCTCTTTCTCTCAAAGTAAATAAATAAATTCAAAAGAAAAAAAAAAGCTCTTTAAAAAAAGAACTACAAGGGAAATTATTTCAATATACGATCATTTCACAACCAAAAAAAAAAAAAAACAACTAAAAAAAGGAAGGGAAGAAAATGATCTCAAAATGATAATGGGCATCCATGAAAACCTATGGCTAATGCAGTATTTAATGATAACAGACAATGTTTTCCCTTTGATTTGCAAACAAGGAAAGGATACGTTGTCACCACGTAATTCAGTGTTGCACAGAAGATGGTAGCCAGTCAAGAATAAAAAGAAGCATAAAGATTGGGGAAGAAGAATTAGATTTGTCTGTATTCATAAGTAATATGATTAGTCATTTGGAAATTTCTACTCAATCTTTAAAAAACATCAGTTCAGGTAATGAGTGAATTTAGTAAGGTAACAGGATGCGAGCAAGGTTAATAAAAAAAATTCAATTTCAGTTGCTAGCATCAAACATTTGGAAACTATAATTATAAAAGTAGTACTATTTAAAATATCATCAGACTTAAAAAATACTAACAGTCAAATATAATAAAATATTGCTCACTTTATGCACATAAAATTGAAAAATATTTCTGTGTCAAATCAAAGTATGTCTAAGTGGGGAAATACATTCATTGATTGAAGGAGACACTATTGTTAATTTGTCCATTCTCTGCAAATTGATCTATAGATACAGTATATTCTCTATCATAATTCTAGCAGGGCTTTTACAGTTTACAAGATGATTTAAAATTTTCTTGTAACTGTATAAAACCTATAATACACAAAACTGTTGTGAAAAACTTTTTTAGATCATCTTGTAAATTTATCTAAAAAATACTCCAGGGGCACCTGGGTGGCGCAGTCGGTTAAGCGTCCGACTTCAGCCAGGTCACGATCTCGCAGTCCGTGAGTTCGAGCCCCGCGTCGGGCTCTGGGCTGATGGCTCAGAGCCTGGAGCCTGTTTCCGATTCTGTGTCTCCCTCTCTCTCTGCCCCTCCCCCGTTCATGCTCTGTCTCTCTCTGTCCCAAAAATAAATAAAACGTTGAAAAATAAATAAATAAATAAAATAAAAAATACTCCAAAAAGCCCAGCTAGAAATATGATAGAAAACACATTGTATCTATAGATCAATTTGCAGAGAATGGACAAATTAACAATAGTGTGTCTTTCAATCAATGAACGTGATACATTTCCTCAGTTAGTATGCATATATGTATGTATGTATATGGAGAGTACAAAACTATCAATAGACCACCCATATATGAATAATTGAGTTTTAACAAAGCCACCAACATAATTCAAAGTGGAGGAGAATAGTCTTTTCAACAAATGGTGTTGGGATGATGATATTCACATGGAGAAAATTCACATTGACCCTTACTTCACACTGTATATAAAAATGAATTAAAAATGCATCTTGCACCTAAACACTGGAGCTATTGTTTTTCAACTTGTCGAAGAATACGTAGAAAATATTCACAACCTTGGGATAGTCAACAGTGTATTAGGACACAAAGAGGAGTAGCAGTGAAAGAAGAACTGGTAATAATACATGAAAATTGAATTGTCTATTCTTCACATGCCATTATTAACCAAATGAAAGAACAAACCGCAGACTGAGAAGGTGCCTTCACAAGGTATAAACCTGGCAAAAGCCTTGCGGATGAACAGTGACCCCTTTCCTCTAAGAACAACTCTTGCATAATTAATACTGCCTCGGCGTTGGTTTGTCAGAGGGCTCAAAATGACACATTATTCTCCTTGTATTTCTTATATAGCATATATAGTTTGTAGTATTATATATATTATTCTGAGATAATTCACCAATTTCCGTTATCATTCTGAGGTGCTGTCCTAACATAATAGCACAATCTACTTACTTACCGACGTTAGTGCTTTTCATAGAATTGTAGTGTTTTCCCCTGATGGTTTCCCACGTACCTGCTTTACTTTCTTAACGATAAAAAATCGGTGTGGCTTCAGGCAGATGTGTCTGAAGTCCACATACAGATTCGAGGAAAGTCTAAGATGAAAGTAAAATTTTCCATTGGAAATGAAGATTCCAAATCTTCAATGTTAGCTAGTTCTATACGTTCCCTTGTAATTAAATAATATTTTCCATTGTTTTCCAAAATAACTTTCCTTTTAGTTGTTTTTTTCATGGTTCAGCGCATGACAGTGCATAATATTGGGGAGATTCTAAAGGAACATATTCATAGCTTAATTCTTGCCCATAACAAAGCAAATACTAATTTATGATTGATTGACACTAATTTTGTAGTGCCAAGTTAAAAAAAAAAACAATTAGCAATAGTATTAACATTGCCACACATTTCTCAAAGTTAAAAACCAAAATGTAAGAGAAAGAAAAATATGAAAGAAAACAACACGTAATGCTATCTCATTTGTTTGTCACGGACAGTCAGTTCCATGACTACGTATCACTGGGCCTACCTACAGCATTTGGCTAAAGAGGAAGCAAAAGTTGAAACCTTGAGTATGTTTCACTGTGTAACTATGAAATAGTTCATTTATGCCCTTTATATTATATATCTACATATACTATATGTAGTACATATCTGTACACATATACATGTATACATACTATATAACCATATACACTAAAGCACTATATTTATGCTGTATAATTTTGGGAAATATAATTTACAGAAATCCATGTACTGACTTACAGATGTCTTCATAAATGTTCACGAAACATTATTTGTAATAGAGCAGAGTTAGAAACTATTGTCCATCAGCAAAAGTTTGCGACGTGACAGTATACTCATATGGTGGAAAATAACATAGCTGCTGAAAATACATGAGAAATATATATATATATATATATACTGCAATAGAAACATGACCTCGATATAGCCTTAGGTAGAAAAAGAAAATTTCCTGATACAACACTGTATTTTAACCATAAAATAAAAATAAAGAAAGAAAGTGGGAGGGGTGCCTGGTGGCTCAGTTGGTTAAGCCTCTGGCTTCAGTTCAGGTCGTGAGCTCATGGTTGGTGAGTTCTAGCCCTGTGTGGGTGGGGCTCTGTGCCCACAGCCCAGAGCCTGGAGCCTGCTTCCGATCCTGTGTCTCCCTCTCTCTCTGCCCCTCCCTGCTCATGCTCTGTCTCTCTCTTTCTCTCAAAAATGAATAAACATTAACAAAATTTAAAAAAATAATAAAATGGGGAAAAAAGAGAGTTGCAATATCCTATGCATTATATATGATTATTTCAACATGAATTATTTTATCTCTAGATGCATATAAAAATCTAGAATGATACAGGGGAAGCTCTTAAGCATTGAGAAAATGGTTTTAAGCAGGACTTTCGCTTACTATTAATACATTTATATGTTCAATTTTTTTTAAAAAAAGCTTATTTTATAATCCTTTTTTAAGCCCCGTGTGGAAAACAAAGACTGTTCATTCCTCACTCAAACAAACTTAAAGGGACATGCATTAAATGTTCTGCAATAAGTCATAATTTTAAGTTTCTACATATTTTTTCTGAGAATATGAAAAAGAATGAGTATTTTTGACATTGTGTCAATAAAAGGAATCATGATTAATAATAGCTACAATAATTTTTTATTTAAAAACAAGCATATTAATATTTTTTACTGTTCTAATGCTCTCAAGAATTACAACTTTCCTCATCTACTTCATTAAAATAGGAGCTTTCTAGGCTGTAGTAGTTACTCGGATTTGGGGATAAAAATAATGCCAAATACAGCTGTGTTATGTATTCAATAGAGGGAGTTGGGGGAAAGATTAAGAAAAGCATAATTTTCACAGATTGGTAGGTTATACATATCTTGGTAAATATATGTGAGTAGGTAGACTCATTCATTTTAAAGATTTGTATATGAAAGGGCTTGAAATGAATTGTAAAATTTCTCAACAGGGCACATCTATTAACAAGGCATTTCAGAAGTGATTTTATGTATATGTGATGCGTTAAGTACCTTTTGATTGAAGATATTGGAAATATTTAATAAGAGTTCCTAGGGGCATTTAAATGTTACTTATTAATTTTGTTTATTCATGCCACTTCATAAATAGCCACTTTAACTCGATCATCAAAGATGGGCTAATATGAATAGTTACAGCTAAGAAAAGTTACTGTATCTTGGGCACAATCAAATAAGTTGCTGTGTTTTGAGAGGAGAATTGAGGGACACTAAGTATTTTCTTATTTGCTGTCATCCTTTTTGTAGGTTATCTGTTTCCACGACAATTACTTCAACCTTTAACCTTTGATATTCTCATTTGCAAGAAAGTATCTTTTCAATAAGATAGCAACATTATTATTTTGTCATAATTAATAAAATTTATATTTTAATTGAATATTATCCAAAGTCATTGACAGTAATCTGTTTACACGGAGAAACTGGAAAAAAAAAGGTAGGATATTTTGCTTCTAATATGTTTTATCAGCGTAAATAAGTTTAAACAAGTAACACAGAACTGTAAGCCTTTTGCTTTGCAACTTGATACATTGCATTAGCTGTTCCCCAAAGAATTTCCTTACTAATTATGTTTTGTTCTAGATAATATTAAAGTTCATTGACATTCCTATAATACACTACAGGATGTCTGCGTGAAAATTGCCTGGAAGCCATGCTGGCTGATGGGAGGATGTTAGCTTATATTAAAAAATAACTTTGGATTTATCAATAGAAAAAAGAGAGTTAATTATATTAGTGCTTATCTGTCTTCCCTTTTGGACAGGTTAAATTATTGGATTCATTTTTTATAAATTGAATTCTTCATT